AGCGCTTGATAGTTCCACGGGGGACCTCCCCAGTGGTGGGGTTGACGTTAGAACACTCAGCGCCGAAGAGTCTTCGGACACTCATCGATGATTCACTGTATTTTGTACGAAACTCGACTTGCGACGAATGTTCCCGAATGGAACCCCGTCGTAACTCCAGGAATTCTTGGAATATCTAATACCCAAGAATAAAATTGACCTGATACTGACCTGCATCCATAAGATCGCGGTCTAACCGATCTGGCGGAACCAGTCATTTCGAGACGACTTGAAATTTATACCACCTGCCGCCGCGACGACAATAAATACAGCGAAATAACGTCGTCGATGGCGCGGGCACGCTTAATATCGTTTCCTCGCGTGAATTGTGGCACGAATAAAATTCAACGGTATGCGATCTCATAATTGCGCTCGCGGCGGGCCGTTTAATGTTTCGTAGCGAAATTATCGCGATAATCTCTCGTCCTGGAGAAATACGATCGCGGGCGAGAACACGAAACGCAAATCAAGCGGCTCGCAAATCATCGGCGGGGTGAGAAGACAGTCGAAAAACAAGAAAAAATAAAATAATAAAATAGGAATGCACATAATGTTCCGAGAAATGTGGGACTCGAAAGAACGGCGATGCAACGCGTTGTGATTTAACTTAACGTTGCACGAAGCACGGAACGAACGGGCTGCGTTTTGAGTCTTATGAGAAGCAAAAGTGGCGAAAATATTTGTACCATTTAAATTCAATGTTCTGTTACAAATAAACGTAATCGATTTATTTTTGTATATATGTTTTTCTTCATGTACGTCCAGCGATTACTCTGCGACAAATGGACAAATTGAGATGAAAAGATGTAGTCTCGTTTGAAAATAATTTACTACCTTTTTTGTTTATTATAAACTATTGTCTTCATTAAAAACCGTGTCGTTCCAAATAGCCCAAAGTAGTTTCCTTTGATTTTTTTCTTTACGGTTACTGGCAAACTAATGGAAATGAAACATACGTTGACCCACTAGTATTGCTCCCTACACTAAAAAGTACCTAATAAAAAAATTTTTTTCAAAATGTGGACCGACTTCGAAATGCGCTAAAAAGTAGAAAATAGTTTCTATTTTTATTATTTATACAGAAATGCAAAAACGGTTAAGAAAACTTATTTTCTTTTACTAAATAATATATTAAATGCATTTCAACATTTGCGGAAGCGACGCAAAATTAAAAATACAATATTATGTACATAAAAAAAAAGTGTTGTTTATTGTGAGAAGACTTTTAGAGGACTGTATCTCTTATTTTCCCAACTAACAATTTACCAGCACGTGACAGTGTCCATCAAAGTATATTTACGGTGGTGGTACCGGGTAAATTTTATTTCGTACATTTTTAACGTTTAAGTGGAAAGGTACACTTTGTGAAATAAAAATATTGAAACTCCTGGCGTGGTCTCGGCCAGGAGGTTTTCGAAATAAATATTAACTTGCAGCTCGTTTGTTTGATTATTCGATTCCCGGTATTTCTATAAAATGTTAGAGTAGACGGTATTTCGTAGTTTCGAATTTATATCGGTCGTTATACGACGCTGAATTCCTGAAACGGAGGGAAGTCGGTTCGCGAAAGCATTCGACGCATTTCACCGAGAGAAGTAATATTATACGAATCTCACGTGAATGCTATAATTAATTCTTTTACGAAGGGAGTGTCTCATTAATATTTAATTCGCAGCTTTACCTTCAACTCTATCGGAATCCATAAAACTTTCCATTAATATTCAATGCGTAATCACGCCACCGCGATACATCAATTTTCCTACTAAAACGGACTTCACGGATATCGCATTTGCATTTCAACGTCTCGCGCGGCCCCGATTTTCAGAAATCGTTCTCTTTATCGTCGAATATAACTCCCTAGATTTAAACCGATAATTTTAATCCAGAATTAAACGAATGAAATTTCATCTCACATTCAAATACTTTTAAATATTCTTGTGTTTCTAAATATTCATAAATATTCAAACGTTCCTTTTTTCAAAATCTCCAAAAAAATTGCTCGAATTCACAAGATTCGTAATCGATTTGGTATTCAGCGATCTCAGACACGAAGAATCGTCGACGAGCAAGAGAATGAAAATTTCAATTAACATTTCATTGACGTCGCGCGAACAAGTTCGACCGATCGATCATAGTGCCTGTTCAGGAGCTGGTCTCTATGGCGTCGCGATTCGATTGTCACGATGATTGTCGTTAATCACGCCCCGGTGTACGCACGTAAACGCAACGAACCTCGGTTTCGCGGGGTCTAATTGATGGTGGCCGTGCAGAGATCCAGTCACGGGTCATTTAATGAAGCGCGATCGGCCGAAAATCTATCTGTTCGATTTCAGTCGGCTCGAACTTACCGTGAAAGGCACGGACGTTAATGGAGGAGACGTTTCCGGAGTCAGACGGGCTGGGGGAGGGGAAAACTTTGGTGAAACTTCGGTGAAACTTCGTTTCCTCCCCTGTCCATTTTATTCGACTATTAACGATCAGATCTGCCATCTATAATCAACCGACTGATGAGTGAATGCACAGTGAAACTTATAAAAAATTTTCCATTACTTATCGATAGCGTTGTTACATTCAGATATTTAGGGTAGGCTTCACAAGGGATGAACCTAAACTGTCCGACTTCGATTTTAACGAGGTTTTGTTAGGTAATGATGTACAGGTTCCTAATAATACATGTGAAATATTAGGTGTAGACATTGGGTAATTTTAATGATATAAGCGATTAAAGTTACGAACCTTCAAGATATACTATGAATATAACTCAAAGTTATCGAAGTTGCGTTGGCAAAGTGAAACATAAATATTTGAACAAGAGTCGATCCCAAGCTCTGCGATTTACCAGCCAAACAACCTTATCCTTTAATAAGTTTAATTTATATTTATAGTACATGTTAAGGGTACATAACTTTAATTGTTTATATCTTTAAAATTACCGAGTGTCTACACCTACTATTTCACATATGTCATTAGGAACCTGTATATTATCATTCACAAAACTCCGTTAAAATTGAAGTCGGACAGTTTGGGTCCTTCCCTTGTCAGTGTCGAAAAAGATGATATTCCAGAAATATATTACATATGTTTTTTAGTGGAATATATAATATATCGAGTTGGTAATAACTTCTACCGTGGTTGGTAAACAGATAATAAATGATGAAGGATAGTAATAATAAATATTTTTCAATTTAACGATAATTGTCGAAATTAAGATTAAGGGAGAATGAATGAAATTCTCATGAAAAGGTTGTTGAAAAGTGCTGCGCACCAGTCAGCAAATAGATCTAGATCGCACGAGGCTGAATGAAAATTTAAACGAGAATGTTGTTCACCGTTGTGATAAGCATTTAGATTGCTACTCGTGAATATAGCATTAATGTAGACGGTAATATGTAAAACGGGCGTTCGATGGCAGATCCTGTATGACGATGCACGTGCGCGATTGGGCGCGCAATATTTCTTTCGAATGATCGAGGATGAAGATAAACGTGTCGGATTCGAAAGGGTAGAGATCTTCTGTCAATATTCCACGCTATCGTGATGGATTTCCATCCAATGAATAGTAGGAAAAAGAAATTGAAGGATTGCACCTACCGTTTTTCGATAGAATTTCTATACAATTCGACGTAGCCAAGGAAATTCAAGTCACAATGAACTTTATACAAAATACAACGATATATTGTACTAATGATCCATGAATAAAATACCATAAATACTGACAGAAAGACTGGACTAACCAGAAGAATATATATTGTAATAAATATTCCGGTAATCATGAAAGTGCTGTAAGTCATATACTTTTGATTTCGAAAATTTTGTCATAACTTTAAAATAGAAATCGATGTAACATAAAATAAGAGAAAAGCTAAATTGTTGTGATTCCTTGACTTACACCACTTTCATAATCACTAAATGACTAAATCGTCTTCCTAAAACAATTGAAAGAAATTCATCTGGGAAATCGATCGTTCTCAGTCGTACCTGTTTCACAACAGAAAAAACCAGCAAAATCGTTCGAATCTACCGTGTGCAGGATCTCCGACAGGACATGCATGAATCAAGCGATGTTCATCAGTGACAGATCGATGACAGAGATACGCGCCTTCGCCATGGAAATCCGTGTATATCAGGACAGCGATAGATGGCGAACAGCGAGACGAAGGACGCGGCGACGAACGATTTTTTTACGAGGCGGAATATAAATGTTGCAAACCGTCAGTGTCGTCGTGGAAATACCGAAAGCTGATAGTCGGTACGCGCGCGACTGTGGCCGGGTATAACGCAATCAGAGCGCACTTCAGAAACCCCGGAAATTTTTGCATTCTAGCACAGGCCCCGTGGAGCATGGGATTTTCGATGTTTTTTGTTACTCCAGGCCCTGTTCCATTGGCATCTGTGCCGTTCCTTTATTTTTTTCGTATGCAAAATTCCAGTGTTTCTGTTGCCTTCTCCGTGGAGGGCATGTTTTGTTAAAAAATCTCGTTGTCTCCGCGAGCAGAGTGCCTGGTTCAGAGAAATTATATGGTGTAGTTAAATAGATTAAAAATTTCTTACGCCGCTGGTGTATCTTCTCGTTCGGTTCTGTGTTGACTGCGTTTAGAAATAAATCAGTGTTTTGATACTTTAACGAAACGATTGTTTCGTACAGACTCTTCTCGATTATCGTCCCAAACGCGCCTGGACAATAATCGTATAGGGAGAAATGCTTCAGACCCTCGTGAATTCGTTTGTTTCCTGAAGACTGAGCCTCGGCAACAAAAGCGGAGGGGCATTAAAGTATGCGCTTGAGAGGTTCCACGGCCCTCCAGTGGTGGGGATAACGCCTGGACAATAATCGTGGAGAACAAGCCAGACGATAATCGAGAGGAGTCTGTAATTGGATTTTTAGTGAAATTTGAAGTCGAATGGTCGTATTTTCTAAATTTCCGAGAGAGTGTGGTCTGCGCTCTATTTAAATTCAAAATATGAATACGAAAGGAAACTATGCTTATCCCAGTTGGGTTTCAACCGAGTCGCGTAACAGCACGAAAAAATCGCATTTTCGCAAAACGTTCATGAAATACGCGAAGCTCTACTGCAAGTACACAAAGCTCGCCGGATTCAAGTACTTCGTGGACGAGGAAACGTCATGGTTCGACAGGTAATTTCGCGTGCGAACGCATTAGAACGCGTAAACGCTGTCCACGGCACGTAACAGATTTTAATTAGACGCCATCTAGTAATGAACACCATTCACGGTAGAAATATTTAAAATTTACACTGGGGGCAACTTGTTAATTAACATTCCTGACGGCCGCTTCTTCGTCGCGAAATTTCACCCGTACGGATGTTTCCCTCGTTCTTTTTTTTGTCCAGATTTTTGTTGTTACTGGCGTATGCGTTTACGGTACCAGCGTTGATCTACACGATCTACGGTGGATATCTGGACGTTATGCAGAATCCTTGCTTCAGCAGCGTCGACACGGAATATCTGCCCACTCAGGAGTTGGATTTCCCGGGTAAATTGAATATACTCGATGAAATAGATCGGATGAATTTTGAAAGAGGCAAACCCTATTTTCTTCGCGGTAAATCGAGTTACAACAACGTGATTCTTAAATTGTTTATGTCGTTCAATTTCGAACAGGGACTTAAACCGGTATGATTTTGATATCGGTATTATGCCATCAAAGCTATACCGAAACCGATATATTACCGAAATAAATACCGATATTTTTTCGGTTTCTATAAGGGTAGGGCTTATATAGGGCGAAGGTACAATCGAATATACTGGTATAATACCGGTATTTTACGTTTCGGTAGAAGTCCCTGTTTTAAAATCGAGACACAGGCACACAGAGAACAAAGTGAACTAGCCAATAACGAGTCCAGAAACGAATATCGATTGTAATAATCATCAAATTTTCCTTCAAACTCCCAAAGTCCATGTTACCACTAAACAATATTGATTTCCAATCGTACCAGCAATTCTACTCACGAACTCAATGATGATTTAATCAGGTCCTTGACTCTTGATGGTCGGTTATATTCGAACTTTACTAATTAACCAGTTCGAGGAGAGTATATACGGTGGAAATTTGCGCTAAGTTCCGAAGATCGGTTTAATACCTTGTTAATTTCGTATCGTGATATTAACACGCGGATCGAAATTGATAGAGTGCCACTATCAGAGTTGGCGATTAAAGTCCACGAAGTAGTTTCATTGACATGGAGCGTCTCACTTACACGAGGTTCCTTTTTCAGGTGTGTCCATCTGCAGCATAAATCGAATTAGCCGACAGGCCGCCCTGGAAATGGCGAACGAAGTGTGAGCAACTTCCGGTGTTAAATGAACACGAGTGTCCGTAGTAGACGAAGAGTGCCTATCGTGTGGCCTATAGCGTGGCCAATCGCTGCTGGGAAAGAACGAATTGCACTGCATGGATAATTTCGATTGCGGTTGACGTTGCGTTGTACGCGCGCGCGCGCGCTCACCGTGTCGGTACTTGTCACGTCGTAGTCGGGTTTTCGTTCGCAAACAAAATACCCCACATTACGCTATGTTGGACATCGTTCGGAATTTCATTTAAACAATATCGTTGTAGACGCTCGTGTTGCAAATTCGTTGGGAATAAAATGACGAAAAAATTCGAATAATTTCGTAAAACCTTACGCTATGTTGGGTATCGTTTGGAATTTCATTTCAACAATATCGTTGTAGACGCTCGTGTTGCAAATTCGCTGGGAATAAAATTATGAAAAGATTCGAATAATTCCGTAAAACCACCGAAGGAAAGACAAATTATTGTTCAGCAGATACATAGTATGTCTGGAAAATAATGGAATTGACAATATATAAATTCAAATACGTGTTGTATCAATTCCTTTAACTCTTTCGTCTGAACGTAATTTCGATGTTCTTGATAGTTTAGAAGAGGATGTGTTCGCACAGTATCGAACAGTAATTTCAATCGATTAACGAGAATTATCGGAGACGCCATCCGCCTATTGCGTTTGACGTTCAATTATTAGAGGGATACAACGGGATAATATATTGTTCTTGGTCTTTTCAAATCTTCGGCATAATGCCCCGCGCACATTTAGCGAAGTTTCACGGGCGTCGATTAAAAAAAAAAAGATATCCATTAAACGAGAAAACCTATAAAGCCGGCCGTAATTAGCTTCAAATCCGTTAAAACTTCCATTAATATTCGCTCGGTGAGACCTACTTCTGGCGTTGCTTGGATCAAAAAAATGTTCCTCATTAATATACCTACAATACACAATCGCGGCTCGAATTAATTCCGTAACATTAATATTGAAATCACGAGTCTACGGTCTCACTTAATCGCGACTCGCAACAATACGGATAAATATCTCCATCCCTATCTTATAATTTTATCCGCAGCAATAAATTCGTGAGAGATCACTGGAAAACTCGCCGCTATCCGACACGGATCCGTTAGCTTCCAGCGAGATAGATTTTATAATTTAATTACTAATTTAATCTTCAATTTAATTTTTTACCAAAAGCTTTTGGAAACTTTGATCACGTTGCTTCCCCTCCCCCAGATTTCATTGTTCTTTATCGTTTACCCGGTTCGCTTGCAAACCGTCCGCACCAGTTTAATAGCGAGTTCACAGAATTGTACGCAGCGTTATCTTTTGCTGTTTTGAAACATTCGTCGCTTAACTGGCTATTTTACGTGCGATGTTATTTTTCATAAACTTTTTCCTTCCTCTCCACCGACAGGGTTTTCGACTGTTTTCTCTCAAACTTACAATCGATCGCCTTCTTAAATATTCGGTTGGAACGACTTCGTGACTCTGTAATGTGAAGAAAATTAATGAGGTATTTATTTTCCGATTAGTTTTCAGCTGAACATCACTCGTCTCTCTGTCGATGAAATTCTGGACATGTTTCTGCAGTTGGGCGATCTCTACGATTCCGACTTAATGAGGCACGATCGGACGTATCGGATCGATCAGCTACTGGCGCAATTTTATGGCGGTTATTACGATATCACAGCCATAATGAAGCGTGTGAGTACTGCTAACGGTTCGATTTCGTAGCTTGACTTGGATATATTAGTTTGATACATTACATTTAATTATAATCTTCGTCCCTTTTTTCCTCTTCCTTCATAAAAAAATAAACCATTCACGTTGATCTCATTTTTCAAAAACTCATTGTCCTGACATTTATCTTTAAATTGTTGAATCTTTGAATACTTTCAGTTGACGCCAGACTGCACAAAATTACTCCAAAGATGCCTCTTCCACAACGAGGAAAGAACCTGCTCGGAAATATTCCAGTTTCGAAAAACTCAGGATGGATTTTGCTGCACTTTTAATTACGCCACCAAAGGGGACGACCTGTTGTTGTGAGTCCCCCAGGACAATTTACATAATTTATTGCTGTTCCATCCATTCTTTTAGCCCTTATTAATCAAGATTTCTTCACTGGAATATTTACTTATCCATTTCCCTTCGGTTCTCCACGAGATAAGTTTTGCGTATCTTCGCAGGCGACACGGTTTCGATCACAAGCTGGATCCGTTGAAGGTGGAATATCTGGGCGAGGATCGCGGTCTTGTGGTATTAATGGATTTATCTATCAACGATTACTTCTATCCCATTTTCCCTATCACTGGTTGCAAGGTAAAATCAATAACTCTTCTATATAAGAAAGAATCAAATCTCATTGAGGAGTTAATTAACCCTGCTGTTCTTCTCGGGTCTATATGACCCGAAATAAACATTACATTTCGCGAGGTATTTTATTTTTAAATATTTCTTTTTAGTATCAACAACCTATTTCAATCTCACGTCTACTTTTTGAGTACTTTCCATTGCTTGAAAACAAATGCACAGATTTTGTAAGCGTCATCCAGAGGTCTGAAAAAAGTGTACATTTTGATAGGTGAATATCTTCAATCCACACGATTACCCAGACGTGTCCAGCGGGGGCGTTATCGAGATCCTCGTGTCACCGACAAGGCAGGTGAAGGTGGCCGTGGAAGCAATCGTGGCGTACAGTACGCCCAACATTCTGGCGTACTCATTGGAGCACCGATACTGCGTGTTCTCCGAAGAAATGGAGTCTGTACGGAGCTCTTATACTTATAGCGACTGCATTGTCGACTGTAGGATTGCCGACATATTGCGGCTCTGCAAGTGCGTGCCGTTTTTCTTGCCCAACAGAGGTGAGAAGTACAATCTTCTAATTAACAACTATTTGATTTCTTGGATGAATTCTTTTTATTCCAAAATCGTGACCGTTCCTCAAGACTTCAGGGTTGGTTCCAAGATTTTAATGATATATTTGATGGTTAGGTTATTGTTTACACTTCCAGAACATATATTGAGTGTTCATTGGTATCCGTTATATTTTGGAATTAAATATTGGTGTATTAAAATTTTCTCCTTGATTTTGAAACGATATTGGTAGAAGTTTTTCAATTTCATGATCATGGTCTTGTAGCTATCGAAAATTTATAGATGATCTCGAGTTGAACGATACTGTAAATCTACTTCTGTAAGTTCTTCTTTCTTTTCGGATGTTTTCTACTGTACTCGACCTTCGATTGTTCGAAATAAAATAGGATGATCCCTGTTACAATTCTCACAAATATACTGAAGCTTATCTGAATTACTAAACCAATCGTCTTCTCAATATTCAAGCAACCTTTATCCTTTACTCGTTCATTGTTAGAATGCCGTACTTTTAATCGAGGCTTACCGTTAGCCTTTCAAGACACACTGCACTAAACGTACTTCACAACATCCAGCCCTCAACTCCCAAGAAACTTCTAAATTATGCAAGGAACACCGAGTAACCATAAACCACCGCGCAACATGACGGAGCAATTTTCCACCGAAGATAAGTTCAACCGTAGCAATAAAAAGCGTTTAAACTGGTCCAGGTTACAAAGTCCATCATTCTCGCCGGGGCCAGAATGTACTCCTTTATTTTGATAAGCAACGTGACAAAAGTGGTACAAAAGGAACGTCTCCAAGTAGATCACGGATCCCTCTTGTTGAGATGTGTCCCTCTTCTTGGGTTTAATTCAGCGTGTGGCACTATCCGCTTTAAAGCTTTAAGCCTCGTCAGAAAGCTCGCGATGCATACGCTCCACTGCGGCACGTTCGAAGATTGTTGGATCCTCGCTTCTAATCTCTGGTGAAGGGGATTGTTTGTGTCCAGAGATCCCTTGTGAATGAAAGTAGCAAACTAACGAATGAAAGAAGCCTTTGAGATCTCCCTTGCTTCGCCCTTGATCATTGCCAATTGACTACCATAGTCTGAATAAATATTCTTATTTTGATACAATTCGGAAGTATAAACATAGCCTTTGAAGTCAAAGTATTTACTGAAGAATTCTCTTGTTCTACCCAGAGGAAATATTATTCTAGTTAACATTAAGAATCATAAAAGTGTCAAAGTTCCAAAGTAGATCAAAACCATTTTCAACCTATGTATACTTAATGACTAGTCACTGTAATTAATTGAAATTAAGCCTTGATTAACTCAAATGTTCATCTACATTTTTTTTTTCAGAGTCTAAGAGGGTCTGCGACTTGGACGATGTACCCTGTTTGACGAAGCATAAATGTAAGTAAGTTCTATCATAAATTCTGTACGACTGTCCGTGTTTTTCTGTAATGTCCTGCGATATCGATTAAACAATTTCAATTTCAGACAAATGGTACTCGGTGGTGCCGAACACGGATCTCTACGACGGCGAGATACAGGAATCGGACGAGGTTCTGCATTGCAAGAACTGTTATCCTCTCTGCAACGACGTCAACTACAACGCGAAGATGTCCGACACTTATTTGCCACGCGCTCAGCACACAAGTAAAATACTGTGAGTAGTTAGTATCTAACCCCCGGCGAAGTTTCCCTGTGATCACGTGTTCGAATGATTCGTAGGAACGGCATGAAGTTCGAGAATCAAAGCGTCCTGTACGTGTACTTCAGCAGCTTCGGTACCATAAAGTTGAGGCAAGACGTGGTTTATCGCTGGTACGAACTTCTGGGTGAGTGTAACACTTCGTGGACATGGTTTTACACGTTAGTTATTGGATGTAAACACGGAGATCCGTTCGCTTTTAGTTGCGGTAATTCGAATTTAATACAATGAAAGAGACGTGAGGTAGAAATCTATGGAAAATATTAGCAGATAGGCAAAGATTACGAATTAAATTCCAAATGTATCTTTCCAAGAGAATACTAATTCAGCGAAGAAGTGACACAACTCGTTTCGATATTTTTTATAGCACTGCTTTAAAACAAACGTGCTGTTAAATATGATTGATACCGTGTCTGGCTATGATTCGCTAATTCCACTTACTACAAACTTTGCGTTTATAGTAAAGTATTACTTCTGTCCCATCGATTCCATTATCTTCTAACAACTACCTTACACCACATTACAGTGGAAAAAATCACGAACTCTGTACACGATCATTACCATAAGTGGAACTAACCAGTAATCATCCGACACGAGATGTAAATCATCCTCAGTGACATACGTGTACATTTATCGCTGATTCAATTTCAGCTATTATTTCACATACAATCAGTTCTCATGCCATTGTACCATCAATCCCCTGACATCCTGCATGACATCACTAGACAGCGGATATTTATGCACTTACAGCGTCCCCTGACTTGCAAAACGTAGCAAAATAAATATTCCAATAAAATTTAATATTATACATGCATTACTATTAACATATTAAAACCCCTATTATAGAACAGAAATTTCTATACAATTTTCTTTTTTTTTATATTAGTGTAAAAATTTCTAAATTTTCATAAACATCCGTTGTCTAAACATCACGCAACGTTGACGTCTAAATATCGAGTCCTATTCAATTATCCCTGGGAATTACTCGAAGTTGGGACACGCTCGAATAAACGTCGAAAGAAATTCGACTAAAGAGGTAATTTAATCGCGGGAACGGTCGTCGTAAAAGTGGTACGAAATAAAACTCCAGACGGCCGCCCGGTGTAAAGATTCGCGATGCAAAGGATTCCCGTTGCGCGACGTCCGTTCCGTAGCACGAAGTTTCCACGCGAACCGTAATCTGTTGCCTCGAGCATCCGGGGGAAATAAAAGCTCGCGAAACGGGACGCTACGAGTTGATCCATTATGTTACGGACACACTCGCCCCGGTTACGCGTTCCCAGCTGGGGATGTAATGCTCCTGAGGATAACAGACTTGCCAGCTCTTTTGCGAGGTCTGCGATGCAACGCACTGGAAAGGCACGCTTGACGGGCTGCTCGCTGAATTTTCGCGACTTCGTAACGGAAAATTATTCTCTGGTCTTCTTAGGTGATTACTAGCCTTTAGACAGGTACATTTGATTCGAATTCTCTGGTCGCATAAGACCCTTTTTGTCGAGTCCTTTTTTTGGATCAGATGGAATGCAACATAGCAAAAAATTGCCCATACCTCGGTAAATTCGATGTGAATTTTCTGGTCGAATAAGAACTTTTGTATCAACTATACATACACTGAAATGTGTAGAAAACATACTTATTTTTCAGAAAGCAACACACTAGAAGAGTTCATAAAATCATCTAATAAGGATCCTTTCAAATTCATCAATCTGTGATATTGAAATTACCACTTAACATGTGTTTGTTATCTGTGTCGAATATTTGTTATGACCCAAGTTTTTATTTATCCAGGTTTTTCAACGTTCCCAAACTAGAAAGATACTGAATTTAAAATAATAAAGTTACGAACATTTAGAAAGTCAGCGAACAGTATCAAGGAAGGGGGAATTGGCGCGACTGAGAATGGGATTTTCGTATTTTCCAGGGGACGCGAGTGGCATCGGCGGCATCTTCCTCGGTTTCAGCCTCATCGCCGTGGTCGAGTTCGCTTACTTTGTCGGGCTGTTCGTACTCGAGCTTTTAAAGGGGCCGGATTCGTCGGACCGAGCCAAGGACGAGAGTGGCCGTAAACGGGCAGCGATACAGACGATTTATTGGGGCGAGTTGTATCCGAGAACGAGGCCCGGCGTGATCGCGGACCAACGTGATCGACGTCGCGATAAGGATTAACGTCCGTTTAAAACTTGATAAGAAAAGTCGGATGCTGGCGCGGTAACTCAACCGACCCTTTCCCTCCCGCTACCATTCAATTATAAATCAAACGGAACAATTTCGCAGCCTCGTTCGAACAACGTAGCTAATAGAAATCGCGAAACTTTTGCTATTTATTCGTTTAAATAAACAATTTATCAGATGCGATTGTAATAACTATCATAAGGGCAAAGCAATTCCTCGTAGAAAAAGAAATAAAGGAAACATAAAATAAGAATTCTATAAACGGAAAATTGTGTGGATTTAGACTTGTTGTCTTTGGCTGTTATTACAAATATAGTTTACATTACAAAATCTACATTCCACATCGCAAGGTTTCGCAGACAAATTTCATTCATCATTTAGGATTTATGCCATTATATACCTCTGTTATAGTCACACTTCGTACAAACTGCAAGCGCAAACGTATAGTCATTCAATCTTCCCAAAGTTTACTTCACTCGAAATCACGGAGGGAACGTAGAGTTCGAGGAAGACGGTAGACGTTCCTGAACAAATCGGCACGTATTTTCACTTTCGACCGCAACGAGGGCCCTTGATCAAGGCACGTACATATCTCCCCGCGAAATTAGCGATCCCCCGGCGTTTCTTTCCCCCGGGATTTACCGGAAGAAGATCCGGCAATCTGCGAGGAAACGCCGGGCGGCGTGCTGCGCCATAAGCTCGCGAGCTTTCTAACGAGGCTTTGCTCGAGGTTTCGTTTAAAGCGTTAAAGCGGATCGCGCCGAGTGCGCCACGGGATCCGGGAGAAAAGCCCGCGCCGTGGTGGAGATAAATATTTAAGTAGGATTCACGCCTTGAACGCGTACACTTAATTCTTCTCACAGTCATTAAGTCTCCGCGATGCTTGCTTCAAGTTCCATGAAAGTTTAGTCGATGAAGATTGTCTTTTCAGTTTCAGACGCAAGAAGATAGAACAATTCATAGTTTCAACAGCGATTTGTTTATTATCCGTGAACTATCCGAAATTACTCGTCAGGCATTTGAATAAGTAGTATTTTAAAATAAAGAACAGTGGGATATCTCATCAGGAGTAAGAAAAGTAAAGATTCTCAGAAAATATATTTTACCTCTTTTCACTTCTTTAGGGGTTGAATTTCGAAAAGTCCTTTTTTAATGGGTGCCTACGTTCTAAGGGGAAGCTATTCCTAAAATTTCATGGTCCTAGAATTAAACGGTAAGAACTGGTCGTTGATGAATCCGTCAGTCAGTCAGGACTTCTTCTTTTATATATATTGTACAGATTATAAAAATTTGTAAATTAATCTGACATGAATAATTCAAGCAACAGTAATTGAACAATGCACGAGAGTTGAAGTCTTTTACCGTTAGTTTTAATTAGTCGACTTCAATCCAGGCACAATTTAATTGAAGGAATACATAGTAATGCAGTACGTTATTGAACGATATTAATGACTTTTATTGCTAATATTAATTATTCGCGTACGTCGTGCTCATCATTTGCGTGAAGAATCATTAGCAATATCACACTGTTGTAATATTTCTATTAATATCATATATTCGCGTTAATGAACGAGGGAAATCAATCCTCTGCATTAACATTAATTGTAAATTTGATGTAACACGAGTACGTTGCTTCCATTTGTGTCATAAAATTTACTATTTAAATCCTACTCTCTCATCGATGAATGTTTAATCAAAGGATATTTAATTTTGTACTTGCTATTCTGAATCAATGACCGCCGCTTTATTAATTCCTCTCTAAGGATTCACGATGGAGAATGTATACTTGGACACTGATTATAAAACTGATAGTCTCAGAAACAGAAACGTACTCTTCACCAGATTAATCCTTTCAATTAATGTCTAACAATTTCCAATACAAGTAACCCGATTCTTCTGTTTAATAAATACCATCTAATCTTTCGTTTACTGTCCAAAACGTTACTTTACAACTTTTTAATTAATCTTAACCAAACATGAAATCTACAAACCTCAAAGGAATTCATAAATTTATCTACCGAATAGCATAATTAAAATTATCGAAGATTTTGTATTAAATCTACTCGAAAGACGAAAGGGGGGGTTAAAGTCGGTAATTGGACTCCCGATCGATGTAAAATATTTGAACCGTGAGACAACTGTCGAAAACAATTGGGCTGCTCAAAGCCATCCCTCGGCCCCGGTCTGCAATTTGTAGCCACAAAGTGGACGACACGCGGGTAGAACGTTTCTGCTGGCTTTCCCGACAGTATTGTTATGAAAGTCGATCGTTTCGACGCGTTCGAGGATCGAGCTGCGGCCAGGATACCGGCGAAGATGAAATTCACCGTGGACGGCCGGGCGATCTATCGACGTGAATTATTGCCGTGTTCGAGAGCCCGCGGAGCTTTGCGGCAATAGATACTGATATCTCCTAATTGTTGCTCGAGCATCACGATGGACTTTACTCTGGACACGGAAGTCGACCATTGCTCGGATGCTCTGTAATTTTCTTAGAATTGCTCGGTTCGGTGAAATTGCGCGCTTCGTATTGTGTGATACGAGAGAGGAATTAATTCTAAATACAATGGAAGGTCGAAATTACGTGGAAAAATAATTGGAAAGTTATAAAAAAAATTAAAAGCATCGTTTGTTTGGATTTACATCGCTTCTCATTGCAATAATACGGAAGAATTTTGAAAAATATACAACCTCCTGAGGGTTACTGGGACAAATGTGTACGTTTAGTTTTTCTTTCATTCAAGCATGCTGCCAAAGATACAACACTATTCTGAATAAACACTCATTCGGAAGTTTCGTAACAAATAAAATATGTATATAACTTCTTAAAAATTATTTGTTTCTGGTTTTAATAATTTGTCCTTGAAAAGGTTAATTTTGATTTAGGCCAAGTTCATAATTACTAACGCATTTCTGGGGGATCTAGAAAGTACTAAATGTGTCTATAAAAGTATGAAAAAAAATGTATCGTTATTGTTGCAAGCAAAGAACGACTTACAAAGCCAATACTATTTTCAATAAAAATAATAGTGAAACAAAGAGTGATCTTTTCTACATTATTAATTCTACTCAAATATGTATACTCAATAATGAATTCAAGTTAATAATTCTCCACTGTTTGCTCGGTATCCTATCGAATTGTATTCGGGAAAACCTTGTAGATTCCCGAAACTTAAACAATAAATGGCACACCACGAAAGTAACGAAGGTGCACACACGCTGTGGGTAAGAATTTTCCAATTCGATTCTGTACTGCTTTGACAGGGGTGTAGTTTTTATCACGAGCCCCGTGTGTATTCAGTACATCTGTCCGACCAACGAAAACCCTATTCCACTGAACCCTTCCCGTTAAAACAAAGCCCACATTGCGAACAAACAGGATCTTCTCTCCCCTGGACAAAACGCTGAAAAACACGGATAGCCTGTTACGTATATAAAACGGTTATTATTCTGAAACGGAGCAGAAATTTGGGGGAAATTACAGTGCGCTGTCGATCGAGCTGATCCTGTCCCGCGACATTAGTTTCATTCAATTTTCGACGTTTCGTCGGGCATGGGGAGACTTTTTCCAGACTCCTATTCACAGGGAAAATGGATAAAAAATCGCGATGTTCGAAGCAGCGCGTGCTGAAACGATAGAAAAAAAGAAAGAAAGAAAAAAATGGTCGAGCAGCATCGAGTAGGGGGGGGGGGGGGGATATTTCGAAGCCGTGAGAGGCAATGAAATCGTTTCGCTCCAATTTTCATCGGGCGTTCCGCGCGCAAATTAACCCGTTTCTGCGCCCTCCAGGTGCCTTTCGTGAAACAATTTCAAGGGAATTACAACGGCCGGACAGGAAAACATGCAACGCGTGTCTCGTGTCGTGAATAGAGATAGGTCGAATTAAATTCTTTGTTCTCGATAGGCACGTTTGCTAAACGATTGGCTGACTGGTTCTAACCCTAGAATGCACAACGTGGGTATTATGTACCCACTTTAATATTTATTCCTCGATGCACGATATGTAAATCTGACGAATGTTCATGCATCGTAGGGTTAATTATCCGCGGTGATCCCCCGTTGACGAATTTCGAAAATAAACACCGGATCTCGCTTGATAAGGGAGCGGTCGGTGCGACGGGTGAACGGCAACGGGTGCAACGGCGGCTCAGTCGCAACCGATTGTCACAAAGCTAGAACGGGACTACAAAGGGTTACGCGGGAACCATACAGCCCCTGTTCCGTGAATTATCGCCCTGGTCTAATCTGATACCCAGTCAGCGTTACACGGCCAACAAAGCGTCGACGCGCTGTTATTAATTATTGATTTTAGCTCCGCTTTAATTCGACCCCCGCTGCAGCACCGATCCATTGTCCGATCGGAACTGGGGTTCGCTTTATATGGAAATATCGAGTGGAATGGTAACAACCGTTTAACGATCACTGTGATGGGAGATTTTCTGAATTGTTTCATTACTCCACGATATCGTTGAGGGTATCACAGTGAGCGAAAATTAATGTGGCTTTAGTTGTGTACTGATTTGGAAAAATAACTTTGGTAACTCGAGTTTTCAGTTACGTTTCAGGCTGGTCGATTTTAAATGATCCTTTGTGGGTTAAGTGGAATAGGTCGGTTAGGGGTCAGCCGTGGTAGTTGAATCAAATGTGCAAACTGGATGGAAAAAAGATGGAATATTAATGGTCACTGCGTTTCGAAGTGAAATTATGGTGCCCGTTGTAATACTAGATACATGAACAATATTGCGCAGTCTTGTGCATGGAGAATTAACCGTTGGCTGGTCAGCCGTGGTCTCTGAACTAATTGTACCTCACAAGAAACAGTAAACAGACCCGTGTTGGTACAGGTAAAATATTCAATTGAGACCTTTAACATTGAACACAACAATGTGTACAACTACAATATACTGTGTGTTTCGTAGCCATGTGTGGAAAGTGAAATAAAATGAAAGTCGGAGAACCAAGACCGAAGAAATGGTCTTCCAAAAATTGCATT